TAAAAATACATACACTATTCTGTGTTGGTGCTATGCTATGTCTTGTTTCATGTGTATACAAACTATATTCTAAATTCGCGTGTGTGTGTGTGTGTGTGTGTGTGTGTGTGTGTGTGTGTGTGTGTGTGTGTGTGTGTGTGTGTGTGTGTGTGTGTGTGTGTGTGTGTGTGTGTGTGTTGTGTGTGGTTAATTGTAAAAACAAATAAATGTTTTAGACACCAAAGGTCATAAAGCATCATGATAAATTATTGTGGCAAAAACGGAAAAATGAGTTAACGATTGGGAGAATTGGACAGAAGATGAAGAAGAGAAGGAATAGGAAAGAGGGAAAAGAAAAGACCATGAAAAATTATTTGAGGCAAGGGTTGAGGTCCAAGGCAGGGATGATTCCCTTACATTGCGCCCTCAGTCTCCGTCTCCTAAGCCCCCCCCCCCCCCCACACACACACACACACAAACACAACAACAACAACAACGAGCAAGGATAAGGATAAATAAAGTCCTTGTGTATGTTATTCATCGCTAACAAAAAGGCATTCGAGTCAGTTAATAACAACAGTATTATAAGACATTTGAAACTGAGGAGTGGAGGAAATCTATTGTAAAATATTTGTAGTACACGAAGAAGAAGATACAGCCCAACGACCATTAAGCTCCATACTAAAAAAAGAAAGAAAAAATGTAGATAGTTCCACAAGTGCTCAGCCACCAAGGAGCCTATTAGTAACCTCGCCTGATTTCCGGCTTCCTTGAGTGCTCGGGATTTTTTTTATTTTTTTTTTCAAGTATTATTGAAATCGATGTTATTGTTATTAGTTTCCATATTATGATTATCATGTTATCAACAATAACAGCAACAAAGTCTTTCCGAAATACAAGGAAAAGGCTAATAATATTTATGATAACAAAGCGATAGTATTATTGTCATTATCATAATTAAAATTATAAAAATCACCATTACTCTGAATCCACCAAAACCGTCACAAATTTAATCATCGAAAGCAGATAGAAAAAGTCAATAAACCTCACTGCAGGAAGATTTTGGAGGAAGCGAGCTGACTGGTAATTGACTCCTTGATTATTTAGTATTTGCAGAGCCATCTATGTATAAAGACAAATTGGCATGGTGTATATATACTTGTCACCCCGGAATTAAGGCTTAAGTTCCTAAGTGCAGCTTAATTAAACTCTAATATATTGGAATACTAATAGTTTTTCATTTTCAGCTGTCTGGTCTTGAACATTAAAACTGATAGTACCTCTGAAGGTTAAGGGTATGGGTCATGTCTGTATTTGAGAATTCCCCCTAAGGGTGGTACACAAGGTCAGGGGCAGCACTATTTAAAGTGATCACTGCATCATTATTATAATTCCACCGACAGTGGGAAATAGCATCCCGATCAAGAAAGTTGAAAAAAGGTCAGGCCAAAAACTGCAGACAGCTGGCACGAACAAGTCATAAAAAAATCTTTGAGCACTCCCGCCTCCCTCCACATTCCTGGAGTGAGCTGTACTCCGCCCAGCCGCAGCAAAAATAATAATAAGAAGAAGAAGAATGATATAATAAATAAATAAATACAGGTGTAGTCAATGAAAAACTTGTTTATGCATTTTGAATTTTATCAAACACATTTAAACTATTTAAAATGATTGGCACCCCAGAGCTATGTGCTGCCAATTCATTCTTTCCTGAATCCTGATGCATTTATATATGTGTGTGTATTTATATATTTATTCATACTTATACATACACATGTGTGTATACATATATATATATATATATATATATATATATATATATATATATATATATATATATATATATATATATATATATATTCATATATGCATGTATGTATGTGTATTTATGGTAGAAAAACCCACAATGTAAAGACTAAATTTATTGAAAATGAGACAACAGTATTGGAATCCACCTGGATTTCATCCACATTGTTTTTCTACCATAGTATCAACATGGTAGAGTGTTTTCATCATTCATGTATATCTATATTCACACACACACACACACACACATATATGTATATATATATATATATATATATATATATATATGTATGTGTGTGTATATATAAATAAATATATATATATATATGTGTGTGTGTGTGTGTGTGTGTGTATTTAGATATACATGTGTGTGTTTGGGTGCGCGCGCGCGCGTGTATGTGTGTGTGTGTTTGGGTGCGCGCGCGCGCGTGTATGTGTGTGTGTGTTTGGGTGCGCGCGCGCGCGTGTATGTGTGTGTATAAGTATAGATATATGCGTGTGTATGTATATTAGTGTGTGCATATGTACATATACACTTATACATGTGTGTGTGTGTATATAGATGAAATGCGTAGGTAGATTATATCAGGTAGATTATATCAAGCAATAAAACAACACTGAGGAATCAGTCCTTTATTTCTCCAGAGTATATGTGTAAGAGAAATCCAAGTTACTGTCCACATTTACGGAGAGCTGAATGGTAACTTTGTATAAAAAAGTTTCTGATGCATACATATAGTGCAGGTATTCCTGTGTGTACGTGGAACTACACATGTGACTGTACGTGTGGATATGTGATACTGCCCGTGTATGTATCAACCTGCAAGTGCCATTATATCAGCGCCACCCTCGCATTATGCAGCCTTCTTACACAACGGTGTACTCCGCAGAGAAGCCCCAAGAGCGCTTCCGTCCGCCGGCGAAAGCGACGTTCATCACGCGGCCAGTCGAGACGGCGGTCGCTGTTCTTTGGCCAGCACAGAGGAGGGTGCTGTTCTCTCGCCGGTAGGTGGCCTGCCCCGACTTGTCTATGGCGATGTAAGAATTAAGGCAATTCCAGTCCCTGAGGCTGATTCTTGTGAATTCCAATTGGATTATTTTACCTTCGGGGGCCTGAAATGGTTTTATAGATGCGTGGAGTGTAAATAAAGTTTTTTTTTATATAAATAAATATCTTCTCTTTGTCATAAAAAAAACAAATCAGCTAATTCCTTACCACAATCCACCACTCGCAAACTTTATGTTTACTATATTTTTTCGGGAACCTTGGACTCTCGATGACGCCCACTGCGGAGGTGTCCGTAAGTTCAATGATGCGGTGACATTTACTCTGCTGCCACGTGATACTGATGCTGAATCCGACGTCCGTTATAGAGTTGTCAGTGACAAAACTGATATTCAAATTCCTGTTCGGTACTAGAATACTTCGTTTTTTTTGTACCGCAGAGCCTAAAAAGGAAATACCATACAAAAAATATGCGTTACTCAGTAAAAAAAAAAAAAAAAAAACTGCTACCACTGTCTTTGTATGACAACTGCAGCTTATGCGTTAACAGCGAAGTATCAAATTGCAATGTTTATTGAGCTCTTGTTATGTTTAAAACTCTTCTGAGGTATCTCTACACAGAGAAGGGAGAGTATTTGTTAGTTATATGTGTGTGGCTTAGCTCAGTGGTAGATCACTGGCTTTGTAATCCGTGTTCTTTGTAATTTGTGTCGAACCAGCCATGTTAAGAGCCTCGGCTATGGCATCGGCTGGGTCAGAGTCAGGCAGAAAATACTGCCCACCGTGCCACATCCTTTCGTGGTTCAAGGCTCTTCACGTCGGCTTGTTTCATGGAATATCTGGCGTCTGTACAGTTACTCGTGATATTAGATTTGCCCATCTCCACTTGGTACCCATCAGCCAAAATTCCAAAAATCATGACGTTTGCAAGTGCATATTCAGGACCATTCTTAAAGGTAAGTTAATTTGGGTAGATTTAACTCGTCCATCGTTACAAATATAATGGCGTCGAAAATCATCTTAAAAAAAACGATTATATATACTTATATGTGGTAAAAATGGCATATTGTTTACACAATACTCAATACTGAATACATGGAATACCCTTAGGTATGCAATATCCATGTTAGTGTGAAATGTAGCACTACGGTTTTATCTATCCCGTGTTCATTTTCTAACTCTCCCATATCCAGTCACCAGCGTTTGTACGTACTCCAAATATGGCCATAAAACAGACTTATGTAAATCTGCCATTTGTAGGCATGCTCTTTGCCAGACAATCCTTCACACACACCCCTAGATACGAGCTAAATAAGAGCCTGATATTTTGGTCTACTAAGGAAAATATATAAGAACGAAATCTACCCACTACAAATGAGTCTATGATCAACCCATTCGCGCCGGGTAAAAATGAACAAAAAATGGGGAAAATGCTGTGCTCATTTTTTATATTTTTTAATGAAATTTCTCTACACTAGATGGCTCTGCTTTACCTGATTTCATTTGGCGGGAAACTGTATTTTTACTAGTGCTATGAATATCGATGGTTATTTTCATTATAAACTTTATAATTACTATAATGTTATAAACATTAGTAACAGCAAAATAAGATAATGCAAAATAATTTCGTAAATTAAAGAAAAGGGTAAACAGACGAGACAGGCAGTACAAGTGCAAGTGTAGCCATCTATGTTTGTAAACAATTAAACAAGTAAACTCGCAGTGAGCCCGTCACGTATACGGGACACCCGGCATGAATGGGTTAATGAGAGTCTATGATTATCTGAGAAAACGAAAGCATAGTTAAATGCCTTTGTGTAGTAGTTCTTACTTTATAGTCCTGCTATAAGGAATCTGAATCTCAATAAAGTCAACGCATCGCTTATGTTTCTTCCGCTGCAATTGCAAAGTGTTGATCTTGAAGACGGTCATGTATGGAGAATCCTGGAAGATGATATGTCAGTTTAAAAACCTGGATTTACAAGGGATTAACAGACACACCAAACAGAAATAGAGGACATTCAAATACTTGGATTTCCAAGGCATTAACAAGCACACCAAACAGAAATAGAGGACATGACAAATACTCACCGCATGCCCAGTAAGTCCACACGTAAAGTTGTTCGGGTAGTTCTCGGAGCCGAAGTGTGGTGAGAGCCAAGTTACTCCAGCACTGGTAGACAGTATCGAGCAGTTTCGAGCGGGTTTC